TACCTATAACTATCTGGACCCCCCCTTCCCTTCAGGCAAAATTCAGTTGGAAAATTGAATTGAATTCTCGTATTCTGCAACATGTTGCTTTGTTGAACCGACTTGTTTTTCTCAAATCTCTTTTCAAACATATCCTGGTTTATATTGTGGCTCAGCAGTACACATTGATGGACCGAATCCCTCATCTAGTTTAAATACACTCTTAGGACGCTTTTCTGATAACAATATTACCTTAAAAATGTCGTTTTTTAAACATCTATTTTTTCTTCGTATATCGTATATCGTATATCGTATATCGTGAAACTTAACATTTCTCAGATTTCTCTTTATCTTTGATTAATTTTTGAAAATCTACCTCTTTTCAACATTTATGAATTTGGCCCGGAGTTAACTGAGATATTGGGCTCAATGGGTTCAGCCGTTTTGACGTTTATTGGATACAAACAAACAGACACGGTAAAAATTGTGCTTGTAAATTATCTGTACTACTTTATTTCGATTCAGATGAACGGCTTAACGGCGAAACGACAAAGCGACGAAGCGACGAAGCGACGAAACGACAAAACGACTATACGACTTAATGACTAAACGACGAAACGATGAAACGGCGAAACGACGAATGTCCGGTTAAAGTTCAAGCAGATTTACCTCAAATATAAAACCAGAAAATTTACAACATTTTGTTATTACTTTTTTGCGGATAATTCTTGAAGAGACGATAATTTAGATGAAATTATTAAAGTGATTTCAAAAACAATGAATATTAAGTTGCATGAAAATATGTATTTCAAGAATTTAGCTTGAATTAGAAGTAGAAGCAAATTAAATGATGATGATGTGCATGTACATGTGTAGTTGTGTACTTTAAGTGTAGGGGGGTAGGGGGGTTGTTGTTGCATGTATATATATATGTAAATGCATAAAATTGTTTCAATTTATTTTTTGAATATCTGTAAACCCCCCTTCCAAACCCTGGCCCACCCCCAAGTACATTTGAAGCATAAACAGGCAACAGGCAAACAGGCCACAACTTTCCTGTATACACAGATTCAAGGCAAAGGAAAGGGTTAAGAGTGAGGGGGGGGGGGGGTACAACAGGAAGCGGGTTAAGGCCAATGAAAGTGAGTTGGGAAGGAAGGGTTAAGATAATATTTCAAGATTCTAGGTCATTTC